ACTCACTGCCCACTTGTCTTCTCTCACGTGAGACTGAGTCTTGAGGTCAAGAACTTTGGCTTGCTCCATTTTTTATCCCTTTAGCCCCTAAGCAGTGCTAGACACGTGCTAGTCACATAATAAATATGTGATGCATGGAGGACAGCAAAGCCAATAGCCACCTCCCTGCTGGGCCACCATGATCTTTAGCACGGATGCTCCTAGAGTCTCTGCAGATACAGGAGCTGAGGCCACAAAAGACAAAGCAGCCCGCCTGAGGCCACCCCGTTAGGAAGTGGCAGAGCTGGAATTCAGCTGAGCTCTCCCCAGCTCCATTCCCTACTCTAACCACTACACACAACTCCCTCCCCACAGATGGGGACTCGCGGGCAACAGGCCTTGGTGGAGTAAACACCTGTGCCCTGCCCACATGGCGCTTAGCATCTTAGACACAGACACGCAAGAGAGTACTTGATAAACAAGAAGAGAAATTTCCAACCCTAAAGACACCCCCGAAGTTGTTCTGCCAGTTTAGTAAGAATATGAGGGAACGGGGGCCGGGGGGAGAGCTAGAAAAGGGGCATATCCAGGAGCCAGGAGTGGAGGACAGTGGAGAGGAAAGACCGAAGGGAAAAGCGAGAAAGCCTCAGGCTGCCTTGAGAGCTGGGAGGATGCTTTCCCCATCCCCTCCCTGCCTGGGTACCACAAGCTCCTCTTTTGCAGGCTGCATGGACCACCGCTACTGCCACAGGAAGTCCTACTTTCTCCAGGTGCCCAGGGACATCCTTCAGCTGCCTGTGCAGCTGCGCGACTTCTCCTGGAAGCTGCTGGTGCCCAAGGACACGCTCAGCCTGGCACTGGTGCCAGCCCAGAAGCTGCAGCAGGACACACGGGAGCGGATCTGCAACAACAGCTTCAGCTACCTCATGGCCAGCAGCAGCAGCCCCGGCCAGGACCTTTACTTCGGCTACTTCTGCACAGGAGGCTCCATTGAGCAGATCCAGGTGAAGCAGAACATGTCAGTGACCCTGCGCACCTTTGCCCCCAACTTCCAGCAAGAGGTCTCCAAGCAGGGCCTGAAGGTGTCGTTCATACCCCACTTCAAAGGTAAGGGTGTCTTTCACTCTCGCCCGTCTCCATGCCCCTAACTTAGCCTTTCTCGTTTGGGCATTCATCTCATTCCGGTGTTGTGATCATCCTAATTAAGTTGTCGATTGGAACAAGAGAAGCGGCTGAGTGGGCTGGTCCTCACACAAGAAATGTGAAAGATGGCTGAGTCCCAATCCTGACTTGGCCATTCACCTAGCGTGGAAAATTCCAGGAGTTAGAAATAAGACTCTCTGACAGTGGGAGGAGACGGTGGATGGCAGCGGAACAAATAATCAGGTTTGAGCCTTTTTTGGAAGCAGGCAGGATATAAATGAGAGCTAACCAAGTATTCCCAAGTGCTGGGTTTTTAAGGTGGCAACGTAAACATCCCCCAGCAGACATGTTTATGACTCTGCTCTGGCCATTCCGGATGCAGTGCGGAGAGCGCTGAGGAAGGGATGCTGGGAGAGAGGCGTCCAGAGCGCCAGGGTCCTGTCCCCCTGGGAGGCTAGTGTGTGACCTTCCGTGTCCTGAGGCAGGAAATGAGGTCTAAATTGGTCTCAACTCTACACGACTGATTTTAAAAGTCACAGTCATCGTCACAAGTTGCTCAACCTTAGAGGCCATTTTAAAATTGGCCAAGACGTTTATTTGAGGTTGACTTCGTCCTTTTGTTCTCAGAGGCATGAGTGGGAGGGAGAAGAATGTTTGGCCATACGATTAAGGTCAATCCAAGCTGCCAGGTGTCCCCACAGGTTACCAGAAAAACACCTTCTGGGGGAGTCTTTGGAATTAAGACCCACCGTCCTCAGTTTGGAATATGGGGGTTTACCTCACCTGAACGTAAGGAATACATTAGTTGACATGACATGTTGGAGACTCTATAAGCTTCGCAATTCTATAACTCTTCCCAGGACCCAAAGTTTGTTTTTTAACCTCTGAAACAGAAATCAGTATATACCCATCCCACCATAGCTCACAGATGAATGTTAGCTGTGTTGAGGGCATTTCTGAAAAGAAGCTGAGATAACCACTGGTTTGGCACACTGGCCTGGTTTTTGCTTGTTTGTTTTGTTTTCAAAAGACCTGAGTACCTGATTTGATTGAGACTCTAGTCCTGTGCTGGCCAATACAGTACAGCCTTTGGTCCCCTGTGGCAATTGAAACGTAATTAATAGTAAGGAAAATTTAAAATACAGTTCCTCAGTCACACCGAGCACATGTCAAGTCTTCGACAGACGCATGTGGCCGTGGCTACTCTATTGAGCAATGCAGATAAAGAGCATTTCCACCATCACAGAAAGCTCTGTCGGACCCCGCTGGTCTAGACACTTGACCATCATCTCCACCACAACTTTTTCTCTCCACTCTGACTGAGTAACACGTCTGTGTGGCATGTCTTCCCGTTCCTGCAGAGGAAGGTGTTTTCACGGTGACCCCGGACATGAAAAGCAAGGTCTACCTGAGAAGCCCTAACTGGGAGCGGGGCCTGCCACCCCTCAACTCGGTGTCCTGGAACATAAGCGTGCCCAGTGACCAGGTGGCCTGCCTGACCTTCGTAAAGGAGCGGACCGGCCTGGTCTGCCAGACGGGCCGCGCGTTCATGATCGTCCAGGAGCAGAAGACCCAAGCCGAAGAGGTCTTCAGCCTGGAGGAGACGCTCCCCAAGCCAAGCTTCCACCATCACAGCTTCTGGGTCAACGTCTCCAACTGCAGCCCTGTGAGTGGCAAGCAGCTGAACCTGCTCTTCCAGGTGTCGCTTTCCCCAAGGACTGTGGGTAAGAGCCTTGAGGGTTTTTCGGGCATGATGACGGGCAGCAAATTGGCGGCTGAGGAGTAAGGAGCAAGTCTGGGAGGCAAGTCAGAAAACATAGATTTGAGTCCTGGCTGTCCGTGTATCAGTCAGCTATTGCCTCAGTGATGCTGCCTAACAAAGAACCCCAGGACTCAGTGGCTCAAAAACAGCCATTACTAGTGCTCACATGTTGGCTGGGCTATCAGGTCCGGGTTCATTCACTCATTCAGCTGCGGGCAGCTGCAGGTTGGCTAGAGGACTTGGTTCATCTTGGCCAGGGCACTCTCACATATCGGCAGCCCAGGCACTATCAGCTGGACTAAGTGGCTTCCTCGGCTCTCCTCCCCATGGTCTCTTATCCTCCAGCCTAGACCTGCTCTGAAGGCAGAGGCAGAGAGATACAAGCGAGGCTGGAGGAGGCACACAAGGTGTCTTGATGCTTTGGTGAGGAACTCATACACCATTCCTTCCAGAGCATTCTTTTGGCCGGCCCAGATTCAAGGGGTGGACCTCTTGATGGGAGGAGCTGCAGAGTCCTATAGTAGAGGACATGCTTTGGGGAGCGGGGAGAATTAGGGCATTTTGGTCATCAATCTACCACGGTCATTTACTATTCATCTCTCGCTGACATAGATGAAGTCTCTTTACTCCTGACCTTCCTCATCTGTGCAGAGTAGATGATAATAACTACCTCATGAAAGTATCATTGGGCACTCAGTGTTGGTGATTAAAATGTGGGGACCTGGCAAGTATGGCACAGACACGTGGTGCTGGCAATTTTTATTTAGTCCGGTGAAACATTCGATTCCATGGAACGCCCCAGTGGCAGGCCTCAGAGCCAGGAGAGGAGTTTGTCCTTATGCTCAGCGTTGCAGGATCCACTAAAGAGTTTCAGGCAAGGAAATGCCTGTGCAGCAGGGCCGCCTGGTGGGGCCGTGTCTGCCCTTTATTCCGATAGTCACAGAGCATCACAGTGTTGGAACCAAAAGGGACCATGACGGTTGTTTCTCCTGTACCCTGTCCTTTCTGGTGTGTCCGCCCAAGGACACACAGCTGGTTGGCGGCAAGAGAACTGATGGGAACCGAAAGTCACATGTGAAAAGCTCTCCCACGCTCTCGTGTTAGCTCCTGGGTTTTCTTCCTGACATTGATTTTTCTGTCATTTGTTTCTATTCCTGTTTTCTCATAACCTCGCCTTTTGTTTACTTGTTAAACAAGCAAGAAATTCTAAATCCCTGTTTTGATGCAGGGCTTTCTTTCTGATTTATTTTCTCTTTCCTTTGCACAACTGTAGGAAAAAGACAGCACAGATGAAACAACCCTCTCCTTCACACCTTCACTTCTAACTTTTGACCGCCTCCTTTCTCCTGCACCCCTCTGTTCTTCACTCCTCCACAACAGGCTGTGGCAATTGGGGGAACACACCCAGTATAGACAGGAGTAGCCTTTCAAGTAGATCTGGTAGGTCCCCAGTTTGTTTGAGTTTCTTAGTGTCTTAGTAATTCGTGTGTGCTCGCGATTCCGTGGGTCAGGAATTCAGACAGGGCACAGCACAGGGGCTCACCTCTGCTCTGAGGTTTCGAGGGCCTCAGCCAGATGCCCTGAACAGGTAGGGTGTTGGGGTGGTTTATCCAGACACAGAGGCCTGGAGCCCTGATGCTCACTTTCATCCAGGTTCCTTGGTTTGTCCTCCTCACAGAGTCTCCACGTGGCTAGCTTGGGCTTCCTCACAGCATGCGGTCTCATGCCTAGTCGTACGTGGCAGCCGGCTTCCCCTCAGAGAGAAAGTGTAAGAAGCTGCCAGGATTAGGCCCCGAACCAGCACAGCCCAAATTCAGGAGGAAGGGACATAGGCTTTTCTGGAGATGAGGAAAAGCGTGAGCGTACAGGGCGGGAAGGAATGGGTGGCGGCCAGCTTTGGAGACTGTCTACTCAAGTTCATCACAGACCTAACCCCCACGTCTCCCCCCCTCTGTCTCCCCGTGTCTCTTCCCACAGACCTGACTGTTGTCCTCATCGCAGTGGTGGGAGGTGGCGCCTTTCTGCTGTTTGCCCTCGGACTCATCATTTGCTGTGTGAAAAAGAAGTAGGTGGAATTTCTCAAATTGTCTTCAGCTGACCTGTCGCCTCCTTAGATCACAGAGGGCTGTCGTTAATTATTCACCTTTTGTCTCGCTTCCCATGTCTCACCCCACCCCAAAAGATCAATGTCAAATCATAGTGCCAGATGTGAGTTATGCTTGGAGGGTTAAAAAAAAAAAAAATCCTCATACCTAGTAGGGAAAGAAAAGCCCAAAAAGTAAAAATTCATGTGCGATGACATTTTAACCTGCAGTTTTTATGCAGCTGCCTCAGCACACGCCCCCTGTGAATCATTTGCTGTCTCCTCATTAGACTGTGAGCATCACACGGATGCTCTTGGCAGGAAAACTGCTCATGTGGGCCCCGCTAGACCAGGCCTCGGAACCTGCTCCCTCCGTCACCTTGAGGCAAACGAATGCGTCCGGCCCCAGCTTGTTCTCCTGCAGTTTCTTAAACAAACTGTCTGTTTTGTGCTTGTTTGTTGGACCCCAGACAAGCACCCCAAAAAGCTAGCCCTGTGGGCGAGAAGCAGGAAGATCCAGTTAACTGACTCAGGCTTACCTCCCACCCCCTCAGGATGACAGCCTCTGTTTTATGAAAGAGAAGTGTTGACCTTTTTAGACCGAGGACACGCTGCTACCAGATTGGATCAGTTCTCCTTCCATTTCTGATGAAAGCCATGAGGGGAGAGGGAGACCTGTTTCCCCGAGCATGATCTGACCTTCCCAAAAGCCAAAGAGGAAAAAAATTATTATTAACTGGAGACATGAGCAAACAACTGAAATTCTGATCGGCAGCGAGACTGTCTAGAAATGTCTCCGCTGACGAGGAAGGACCTGCCCACCGCAGAGCCAGGAAGAGGCCTCTCCTCTGTGAAATGGGGGGGTTGTACGTAGATCGCATGGGGCGGGGGGAAGGACTTCTTTTTAACAAAACATCATTTCATTGTTTCTCTCAGGAAGCCTTCTTGCCTGGGGTACACAGTGTGTCCAACCCAGAGAGAAAGCGTGGCAGTAACACTGGGCCCCACCTTCCTCATCAGGAGGGAATTGGGCGAGGGGCGCCCCCAGAGTTTGTTTCCATCTCCAAACTGCCTCAGTTCTGGCCGGAGAGTCGCCAGCCCCAGACTTGCTGTGGGGGAGGCCACTGGCTGGCAGGTTGCAGCAAGACCCCCAGCTGGTGTAGGAAGGTGGACAGGTTGTGCAGTGAGAGTGAGGGAAGACAGTGGCATTGAACTTGTTCATTAAGCATGTATTTCTGAGAACCTCCTGGGCACTATGTACAATCTCTTCTCCCACCGCCCAGGAGGATAGAGGGACCACAGAGGCAGGCCAGGACAGCGTGAGGAGAGCTTTGGTGGGGACGAGCACAGCACTGTGGAGCACAGGGGAGGGACACCCGTCACAGGGCTTCAGGCCGCGGCGTTGGGATCCCGTCGTCCTGGCCCAAGCCTCAGTGTTACAAGAGAAATGCACTGGATTTATTTTTATCTCAGAAAAGGACAGGGAGCCTGTCCACAGTTAGTGAACCTCCAGCCTGTGCATTTTATGGTCCATTATGTTAATTGAGGAAATGTCCTCCATTGGAGTCACCCGTCAGCTAAAATGTCAGTGTCCACCCGAGGCCCCCGGCTCGTGGAGATGGGAGGCGAAGCTTCGTTTTCCATAGCTGAGAGTGCTAATGCCTGTCCACATCCAAGTACCGAAGAACACTACCAACCAAACATGAATGGTGTTACGGAGGAACTCTGCCACCCCAGCCTGAATTTTGTCTTATTTTTTAGTTGTTGTTGTCTCTATTAGTGGTTATTGCTGATGGGACTGGACCCCTCCGCTAATGCTGAGCTCTATTCTCCCAACTCCAGCTAAAAACTAAGGAACAAAACCTTCCACCCTGAGTCTCGCGTGTTATCATTTAGGAGCTAGATGATCAGAGCTTTCACCCATGCCAGAGAGGGATGGCGCGTTAGCTACGGGGAGGCTGCTGAGAGAGTCACAGAAGGTTGGCCGGGACATGCCCTGCCTGACGTGGCTGGGCTGGGACGCTACCCCTTTCTAGTAGGAAAGAGGGATTGTCGTATGTCTCCACCATTGGACACTGTGCATCTATCAAAGCGAATTCAAGTGCACGTAGTGTTAAAAGTGCCCTCGCTAAACCACTGTCGACTTCCTGTTTCCTCCTGGAAAACTGGAGACAGAAGCTGGTTCCTTCTAAATGTTCACTGGAGACATTGGTTTTGCTTTCAGACGCTGAGCGAATTGTGAGACGTGGGGGAGATGCAGTCAGAACCCTGACGGGTCTGAGTCCTAACAGGGATGTACAGTGGTGCACATCTAAGTTTGCCATCTTCTTTTTCTCTTGCCCCCTCTCTTTCTCAGTAGGAAAAAGAAGATAAGCAAGGGCCCGGCCGTAGGTATCTACAATGGCAACGTCAACACCCAGCTGCCGATGCAGCCAAAAAAGCTTCAGAAAGTACGAAAGGACAGTGAATCCCACGTGTATGCGGTCATTGATGACACCATCGTATATGGGCATCTGCTGCAGGATTCCAACGGGTCCTTCGTCCAGCCAGAGGTGGAAACCTACCAGCCCTTCCAGGGCCCCACAGGGGACTGCCCACCCTCCCCGCCCCCCACATGCTCCAGGGCCCCGACTGCAAAGCTCACCCCCGAGGAGCCACCCCCTGGCTCCAGTGCTGAGTCTGAGAGCGAACCCTACACCTTCTCCCACCCCAAGGAGGGGAACGAAAGCAACGGAGGCACAAACGTTCCCTTGCTGGATGCCCACGAGCCAGCGGCGTCTGCGGAATAACTTGGACTCATCCCAAAGACTTTTTCATAAAACAGGGCACTGAGATGCCCTGGAGGGTGCCCGCCAGAAATCCTAAAGAAGACACGTTATATGGAAGGAAGAGCAAGAGGTTTCCCAGAACAGCACCAACTTCTGATTTCCAAGTGAACTCATTCTGGTGGTGAGACGCTGAAAATGATGAATTGTGATCCAGACACAATTATCATAGCTCAGGTCCCTCTGAACTCAGGCTGAGCTGTAAACCAGCCCATAATGAGCGAGGAGAGGTGTGAGTCACCAGGTACAGGGCAGCCACGAGCCCTGGATTTGGATTGGACCTCTTTGGGTTGACGGTTCCAACCCCTCGGAACCCACCCGAGGCCCCTGCTCTCTCATTGGGTCCCTTGGACAAAAATGACAATGTGCCTTTTTTAGTATTATTTATTTGATGGTCCTGTGTGTTTAAGAAGTCGGATGCGTAACCACACAGCGATTTTCACCTGACATAGTGACAAGTCACGCTAACTGGTTGGATGGCTGGGTTTAGACTTCTCCTGGTCACTAGGTAAACGTGTGCTTGTCCCCTGGGAGGTGGGAAGAATTTGCAGTCTGTCTACCAGAAAGAGTGTGTGTGTGAGAGAGCAGAGATGCATATCTTCTTTGATGAGAGACTTCTTGGTTCTCTCATTCTGCATGTGGTTATCCCGCTGCAGAAATTCATTATCCTTAGTCCTAGAAACAAGGGAAATTTCCTTGAATTGCCACCTGTGGTTCTCCCAGCTTCAGCAATACTTCTGCATTTAAACAGAAATGTAGGGAATATTTTCATCCTCTACAAACGTTTACAAATACAGCAGGCTCCCTGTATTCGTTTCCTATTGCTACAGTAACAAATTACCACCAACTTGGTGGCTTAAAACAACACAAATTTCTTATCTATAGTTCTGGAGATCAGAAGTGCAAAATGGGTTTTCCTAAGCTAGAATCGTGGGGACAGCAGCTACACTCCCTTGGGAGGCTCTGGGAGACAGTCCATATCCTTGCCTTTCCCAGCTTCCAGAAGCTGTTCACCTTCCTTACCTCCAATGGCTGGTCACACCCCAGCCCTGTGACACTCATTCTCCTGCTTCCGTCTTTCACTAGTGAAGCCCACCTGGATAAACCCTGATTCACTCCCCACCGCAGAATCTCTAATCGCACTGAAAAAGTCCCTTTTGCCATGGAAGGTAACATATCCACGAGTTCTGGGGATTAGGATGCGGACATCTCTGGAGGGCCATTATTCTGTTTACCACACCTTCCTGCCGCTGCAGGAGACACTACACACCGATCCAGCCCACAGGTGTGTTTTGTGTAGCGGGCAGAATCTTTTTTAAGAATTAGTTACTAACGTTTCAATTTGTTAAAATGTTTACGTAAAAACCCAGATCAGAAGATCTGGCTGTGCTGGGGCTCACGTTGTCACCTAGAAACACCTGGCTGGAGAGGCGAAGCAGCTCCACCTGTAGGCGGGGCATCTGGTCCGCCAGGTCCCCGCAGTCCCCACCACTCCCTGCCGCCTCCCACGCTGAGGCTCAGTGTCCAGTGCTGCTGGCCAGTGCCCCTGCAGGGTTGCTTTCCTCATGCTGAAATGGAAAGTGTGGGACCCATATCTCGCATCCAATGAGCAGACAGGCCTCGAGGCTGGTGTGTGTTTCAGGCAATTCTTTTTTCTTCCACGCAGCCCACATTCCTCCTTTACTCATGGCCGGCCCCACTCCTATGGGTGGTTGTCTTGGTAGCCCCTGTGCTCTCTCATCTGGGAGGAAAAAGATTACGTTATGGCTTGTCTGCACCATCCAAAGTTCTCATATTTCTGTGGCAAAACTTCCTTTGGAAAATGAATGCCCTTCATTAAGTTTGGCGAATTCACCCTGGGAAATACCCTGCCTGGACTTGTTCCTGTGCCACTTTGCCTCTGTGAAAATGAGTTTTGCAACCTCCGAAATGGTGTGTATTTTCGGGCTTTCCCAGAAGGAAGAGTTTATGGTTGTTGTTGTTTCATTTAGTCCTCCGTGCTGCCTGGGGCACCTTTCCCCTCTGAAATGCTGGCTCCTGCCCGGTTACCCCCTCCATGAAGGGCTGGAGGCGGGCTGTGGCTCCCTTCCCTCAACTGCAATTGTATCGTTATTTAAAATCGCCATTGGATCCCTAGCCCTCTGCTCTCCACCTTCTCCGATCTCCTGGCCTCGTCTGAGGTTCAGCGTGCCCGTGATCTTCCTTCCACCCCAGAGTGCGGCCGGCCACCTTTGGCGTGGCCCTCATCACACACATCACCTTTACTTACAAGGGCCCCACGTGGCCATTTTCTTTTAACTGAGCTCAAAACTCCAGGCCAAGTTGCCGTCTTCCTGAGACTTCAGGTGGATTTTATGTTTTCTGAAGATATGCCTCCTGAAAAGTGTCAGCCTGACATATCCTTGGCTCTTGTCTTTAAAGCCCAGGCCCCACTTAGGTAAACTATTTCAGGGTCACTGGAAATCAGTCAAACGCATTTGTTGAAGCCTGTGTGCGCCAGGACCATGCCCCTGCTCTCTGCGTCTACCGATGCCCACCTGCCATAGCCGTGAGGAACCTGGCTCGTACAGGACCAATCTCGAATGCTGCAGTCATTTTGCACGGGAGAGGGAAGTCTCAAGGAAGAGAAGAGGGGAGAAAAGCGTAAGTCCATGGGATGTAACCATGGTCAAAGTTAGCAGACTGGTTTGTGTGGATCTGCAGTGCTTAACTAGAAATAATTTATTTGTTGTAGATACTTTTTAGGTAGCATTTTATTCATTTCCTACACTTTTTTTAAATAAACAAATATACAGGAAAAAAAAATGGGTTGTTTACATGCTTTGTCCCCTGGTTCAGCTGAGACCCAAATTTCCCAGTTGTTTACTATGACAAACTCGACATGAGCTCAGCAGATGCTGTCTTCTCTGTGTGTTGACGGTCCAGGAAGTTGGGCTTTGGGCTGCCAGTGGGTAACTCAGCGGCCAGAGCTTGTCCTGTCCTGTTCCCGTTAGGCAAAGTGAGCCCCCTCTGTGTGACCACTTCCGATACCTGATCCGCGTAGAGGCCCAGGGCCACCCTCGTCACTGACTGCGGTGGAGCTCTCAGCCCATTGTGGGTCATCATCCACCAGAACAGAAGCAAAGGGAAGGTGGTGGGAGACGGGAGTTCCAGAGGGGCCCCCACCCTCCGCCACGCACTTGGAGAGGAGACCCAAGGGCACTGAGGAGACCACATGTTGCTGCCTAACAAACCACCCCAAACCTAGTGACTTAACAATCGTTTATCCTGGTCACAAATCTAATGTGAGCAGGGCTTCCCAGCGATTGCTTATTTTGGTTTGTGTGGCCTCTTGGGCAGCTCAACCTAGAATCCACTTTCAAGATGGCGGCATCACACAGCCGGCAAGCTAGTGCTGGCTACGGCTGGGAGCTATGATTCCTTGTCACCCCAACCTGTCTACAGGGCTTTGGGGGCTTCTTCACAACATGGCGGTTGGGTTCCAAGAGTGAGTGTCCCAGTCAGGAAGTCAGAGCTGCCAAGTCTCGCGAGGCCTGAGCCTGGAAACTGGCACGGCGTCACTTCCATTCTAGTCTATGGGTGCGTCGGTCACAGAGCCTGCCCAGACATTAAGGAGAAGCAGCAAAGCCCTCATGTCTCCGTGGGAGGGACAAAGAATGTGCAGCCATCTTTAATATGCTACCGTGGATCTGGGGAGATCAGCCCCAACGCCGTGTCCTGACAGCACTGACTGCGTCTGTGTCTGGGCCACATCCCACCTCTGACTGCCTCTCTCCTGAATCCTGTTCTTGGGCCTCAAGCTGCAGTCTCTGGGCTTCTGGACTTTCCTCTCTGCACACTGCTCCATGGGGATCCACTGGTGTCCTCTACTCTATGATGATAATGCCTCAAATCCTAGCTGACACCTACCCGGGTGCCACATTTTCACAGCCCGGTGGGTTTTTCCCCTCATACTTCCCTGTGTTCCCCAATCTGATTTCTCCAGAGGGGAATTCATTCTCTCCTCATCCCTTACCCCAAGTCTTCTGCCCCTTTCACGTGGGTTCATTTGCTGACTCTGCCCTTTCATTAGCTGTGTGTCCTTGAGTTGGGTCTTTTTCTCAAATGTCTGCACAAGATTAAATCTTCTGAGATCACTTCCATCTCTAAAATGCTTTGATTCTCCCATCACCCAGGCCCAGAATATTGGACCCAACTTTGGTTCATCCCTGTCGCTCACCCTGATAGCTTTCATTCTTCTCCTGTCTGGCCTCCCCCTCCTTTCCGCCACTCATTTTTCATCACGTGACTCCCTTGCTCTGAAACCTGTGCCTCCAGATTTGTCCCTCAGAACAAAGTCCTCGATCGCCTACTGAGGTATGGCACCCCCAGTTTACCCCTTACCTCCTTACCTCTCTGACCTCTCCCTCCTCTCAACCCATGGCCTCAGAGCTTTATCCCAACACCACTTAAATCCTCAGGTGTATCAGAGGCACAAGTACCCATATATTTGCTCATGCCCCTGCTCCTGGACAACCTGCGGGCAAAAGCTGTCCTCCCTGTCTCCCTCCTGATGAAAATCCTACCAGCACTTCAGAGTCCACCATAAGCCCACTTCCTTCAGGAAGCCCTCCAGCCCCACTAAGCTCTCCCTCTAAATGCCAGTAGTTTTTAGGATGCCTAACACTCTGCACTTAGGAACGTTAATTTCATGACTTAGAAGTTTGTACTTGCAGTTAGGTTTTTGCCTAACAAGATGGTCCTTTTCTCAGACGTAGGAGTCCATGTTTTGCACTTGGTCTTCCTACCTCACATTGCATCACACAGCGGGCGCCCTAGAAATAATGTCTGTTCCATTTGAATGTCAGAATGGAGACACATCCCCCAGTAACTTCAGGCAGATGTCATACTTGAGGGAAGGAATTCGATGCCAGGCAAACACCCTGTGCTAGGAGCTTTGCAAACCTTATCTCAGGTCAGCGTGATGATCCCAGCAACTTTTCGTCTCCACTTGACTGATGAGAAGAAAAAAAGGCCCAGGAAGTTGGAGTCACTTGCCCAAGGACACAAACCTATAAGAAGCAGGGTGGCAACTGAACGGACTTTCCAGTGTCCTGCTGCTCTGCTCAGCTCAGCCCAGGATGACCCTTCTGGGATCCGAGATCAGGTAAGGGCTGCCAGGGATGGCCCAGGACCCCATAAGATCTTTGTCTCCCGTGTTTTTGTTTTTGTTTTCTTCCTCTGACTCGTGTACTCATCTCAACATCTCCACTTGACATCTAACGGACATCTCAAATTAAAACATCAAAACTGATCTGCTATTTCTCCCTCAAAATCTGCTCCCCCCCCCCCGCCCCCGCCCCCATTGAGGGGAAGGGTAGAGGAAACAGGTTTGCTCCCACTCAGTTGGTGGCAGCTGTTTCCATCCAGCTGCTCAGCCTAAAACCTTTGGAGTCCATTGTTAATTAATGAGTCGAATAAAACCTGTGGCTCGTTTTCATGCTATTTTTTACAAAAGTCATGTTTATAACTTTTGAAACTACACTTTAACACAGGAACTGTCCCGCTGAGCCTGCTGTCACAGTGATGAATGAGCCTTGCCTCAGCTGGCTCCCTCCAGACCTCAAGTCCCACAGAGAATGTCTCATTGGCTGAGCCCAGGTAACAGGTCCACCCCGGTGTACTAGACTGGGGAGAGGAAGGACCCAACCCCTTCAGCATCCAGAGTGGGACGCACCCCAGGAAAATGCCCCCAAGTAAACCAGAGGGCCACTGGGAAATGAAAATGATGTTAGGCAACCAGAAATGACAAAGGCCACTATTCCCTCCTTGGGCCTGCTGCGAGCTAGTGCAAGACTCTGCTTTGCAGATGAGAATGCTGGGGCTCACTTCCTAGTCCAACTGTGCCACCATCGCTGTTAGCTGCCCCTTGAGAGGCCTCAGAGGATCAGCTAGGGAGGGGGCTGCTCTGTCTTTGAGGAGCTCACTGTCGCATGGCCTCTCATTGAAAAGTGTTCCAGGAGCGTTCCACAGAAGAAGCGTTTGCTTCAAGTTGATGGAGCCAGTCTCTCAGTTTGTACACATGGGCATGTATATGAAACACAACCTTTCTTGTTTCCAGGAACTGTTTGTCCCCAGACTGAAGAAGACCCCAGAATGGCTGAGAGGCAGCTGAGAAGTACCAGCTGTGTGACCCAAGCAAGCAGCCTGATTGCTCTGCGCCAGCAAATGTGAACCCTAATACCTACTTGAGGTGATTGCAAGGGTGGGAGAGATGAAGTATAGACAATGTCTGACTTAGTAGCTACTTGTGTTAAATCTGCTTCGAAGAGGAAACATCGCCAACAGTCGCTTGGTCTCATCTTCAGCAAGCTGGTTATCTCGCCCGTGCGTTGACAGTTCTCTAGCTGATTGTGTCACATTCGAAGAGGCTGTTCTCATCCTCTTCAAATCTCATTTCGCTGTCAGCTCTAGCAAGCTGGCCCATGATCCTACAGCATGTGTGCAGCCCTGGATGTTTGGGCCTACCTGGCCAGGGCACCCACATCAGAGATGGGCCCCAATGGAGACATGTTGGGGGTTGTGGGGAGGGCAGCAGCGTTCCCAGCAACGTGGCTTAAAGTAACCATAGCAACTGTTCAGTCTTTTCTCCCTGCTCCATCCCCACCCCGCAAACCTTTCCTCAATGACAAGGGGCTACCAACCAACCACCCTTAAAAGAGGGGCACGGGGGGACTATCACCTCTTCCCCAATGTAGAGTTAAGTCAGTGCCTCGAAATAGTGTCAGCATTTGAAACGTTGGGAAAAGATCTTGTTAAATAGAAACTGAACAGTGTTTGCTATCATGGAAGGAAGCTGTGACTGGGAAACTTGGCACTAGATACCCTTTGGTAACTTTTGAATTTGAACCTTGAGAATATCTCTTATGTTAAAATAAAAAACAAAAACTTCCTTTCAAAACTTGTTAAAATTCAAGATTCTGTGGTTGTTAAATGTCTCAAAAACAGTGTTTCATTCAGTCCTGCCCACTCCTAGTGAGTCCAGCTTATCAGAAACTTTCTCCCCTCTCTACCCCCCCAACCCCCACCACACACACACACACACACACACACAGTGGTGTGACCAGTTTGGCCAGATTTCAAGTCCCTCTGGTCAGAAATCCCAGGTTACTGCCTTAGAGGCTAAAGGCTGGAAAAGACAGGAAGGTGTGACAGCAAAAACGCTGCTAAAACCCTGCTGGAAGCTTCTTCCGGACCACTTCTGGGGCCTCTAAAGTTCCTTCCTCCACCCACTCCTCCAATGTTGGAACTCCCAGGCCAAGATTTTCTCAGGGGGCCAACAGCCTGGCCCGGGAAAGGAGGTGATGGGCTCCCTCCATCTGGAAAAAGGGGTCCCGGCACCAGCTGGTGAAGTGAGCGCAGGCGTCTTCAGGGGCTCCTCACGTTGCTGGGGACTTTCAGATCTGACCTCTCAGGCATCCAGGCGCGAGGGACTAGAAGCTGCTCAGACCTTAAGCCTGGGACTGAGGTTGTGGGGAGTCCAGCTGCACCGTGGAGTTCAGAGAGAAAAGCCCAAAGGGCTACTTGGGAAATCATTTGGTGGTTGTGATGTAATTCAAGGGGAAAAAAGCCGTTTTAGTCCAAATCCAAGTCCACAGCCTTGTGAAAGCCAGTGGAGGAAACACTTTACCTCCAGCTTGGACTCAGTGGGTACTTTGGCCCCTGGGCTGGCTCATGGAGGAGAGGGAGGCGTTTCATAAGACACTAATTGCTTGGCTACCTGCCACCCACAGCATTGCCGGAGCTGGTTTACTGGCTGAGCACCAGCAGGGTCATTGGATATTTCTGGGTTAAGCGTCTTTCCTCACCTTCTACCTCAGGACCACCCTTCAACCTACTACCAAAGCTGCCACCCCCACCCCACCCTCACCCCTGGTCCCTGGTCGCATAAGCCACCCAGCACCAGCCTGCAGGCTAATGGTCAGGGGTGTATGATCTCAGCGATTGCCAGCTAATTATACCTTCTCTTGAGTTACAAAGCACTTTCACGAGCATTATCTCACGTCATCCCACAGGCAGCACTGTGCCTGGCACGTACCAAGTCAATAAATTCTACACTGAATTGGTGCTTATTGCCACCCTGGGAGAGCAACACAGCAGGACATATTCTCTTCTTCCTCTTCCTTTTTAAAAGTTAAATAATGAAATCCAAAGAATGTGTGACTTTGCCTAGGACCCCACAGCAAGGAAGTTTCTGGCTGACAACTGATGGGCGGGCAGACTCCAGCCTCCTGCTTCCAGATGGGGCCCCTTCCACCCCCCCACAAGTCACTCCCTGGGGGGTTTACACAACTTGGTCGTGGCTGCTGATCTGTTACTCAGGACTTAGGTGCTCCCAGGGCACAGGCCCCCCAGGGCTTTAGGGCGTCGTTCTTGGGGCCTTTGTGCTGGGATTACTATGACTCAAGCTCAGGCCTGTTTCCCTTTTGCTTCGATGCTTTTCTTCAAGTCCTAATGAGCCCCAAAGCTCACTTTAAACTTGCCAGAGGAGAATGAATCAGACTTTCGATTTTGAGAACCCCAAATTCCAGGAAAGCCAAACATCCCCGAGCAATGGTTCTTTCCTTTTCATAAAGACACTGATACAGGTAATTGGTACATCAGGACCTACAAAAGGGAGGCCCCGCCCACATCACAAATCTCAACCTAAGTCCGTCTGCACTTACGGGAAACGCCTCATTGTGAAGGAAACCTAACGCACACCCATCACAACCCTCCAACTCAGCTTTGCCTGGCTCACCTCACCCTAAATAGGACCTGCTCCCCTGATAAGGAAATCCCCGACCTCCTAGCCAATCCTGCCCTCTTCAAACTCGTTGCCTCTTCTAACTCTGTGAAACTCGCCCTTGCCCCACATCCCTCAGGAAGAGTGCCCTACTGCTTGTGAGGCACTGTGCCCCCAATCCATGGATTGTTTTCCCTTGGATAAAGGACATCAAACTTGTTACTGAATTGTATGATTTTTATCATTTGATAACACCAAAAAGGAAGCTGCAAGAAATAACTCATTCATCAGATCGTACTGAGACATCGCCAACTCTCCCCTCCCCAGGTTACTGAGAAGAAATCTGGGGAGAGAATTTGTCTGGCCATCGTGCCATCAGCTGCAACAGCTTGACAGGCCATGGAAGAGGCACTTGTCCCTTTTGTCAAGTCAGGCTTGGTTATTATTTGGCAGAAGTATAATCAACCGTGTGAAGAAAGATGATGCAGAACTTGAAAGTTAGGCAAAATGACAGACTGAATGTCCTTTTCACAGTGCCCCAGAGCACTGTCACCTAAGGGTCGGTTAGTACTCTAGGGAAATGAAGCTTTTGGTTGACTTACTATTGATTGGGACCCATACTCAGTAAGAATATATGTTCACTTGTAAAAAAAGTGATAAGCTGATTTTGTCAGGTAGAGATGCAAAAGAACTCTGTCCAACAGGACAGATACCCTCAAAGGTTATGGTTTTATTGCCTTGTGAGACGTTAGCCAGTTTTGTATCTAACGTTGCCATTTTAGCCTACCGTTATTTTTTTCCACTGAGTCTACATTTACTATCGATTATGATTCTTCAGAAAGATAAATAGGTCTTGTGGGCTGAGTATGTTTCTAAAACAGGCTTCCACCTTCAAGAGAAGGAGAACAAAGTGCATCTAAAGCACCCAGAAATTCTGCTCCCTACTGTCACCCACTCAGAGCTTCAGGGTCGGCTCCCAGCACTGTTACCAGGAAAAATGGAACCGAAGAAGACATCATTGACTTCAGCTGCAGGAGACACAGCAGGAACCTCCTCATCCTGTTGAGACAGGGATCTCTTCCAAGGGAAGGGTTACAGGCAGGAGAGACTACCAAAGGCTGGGGAACACTGAGGGAAGTGGGACGTCCCAACGGTCTAAACGGGGCATCCTCCAAAGGTCTAAACAGAGTCCTATCTCCCCACCCAGGACCAGAGGCTGAGTTACTTACAGTGGGGCTTGTGCTGGCTGAAGAACTGCTTACCCCCCTCACTAGAGTGTAAGCCTCCTGAGGGCAGGGACTTGTCCTTTGTTCGCCTCTGTATCCCTAGGGAAGTCAGAGAACGGGATGCTAAGGGAACAGGTATCTACACTGAAGATGCAGGCTGATGAGGACTGACTACAAAAGGACATGAGGGAACTTTCTGGATCATGGAAATGCCCTGTGTTGTTATGGGGGTGGTAGGTTCTAGGGAGGCAAACATTTGTCAAAACTGATCAACTGGACAGT